CCAGGGGCCTGGAAGCCTCGACCCGCTCACGCCAGGGGGTGGCGCTGCGGAGACCTGTGCCGTGGGAACCCGGGGCTGGGCGCTCTGCAGTGACCGGCGAGTGCCAGGAGATGGCACTGTGGTGATCTGCGCCCTGGGAACCCCCAGGCCAGGCGTTCTGCAGTGACTAGCGAGTGCCAGGAGATGGCGCTGCGGAGATTTGCACCTTGGAACCAGGGGCCTGGCAGCCTGCAGTGACCGGTGCATGCTGGGGGATGGCGCTGTGGAGAACTGTGCCATGGGAACCCGGGGCTAGCGGTCTGCAGTGATGGGCGAGCGCCAGAAGATGGTGCTGTGGTGGTATGTGTTCTGGGAACTCACAGGCCAGGTGGTCTGCAGGGACTGGAGAGTGCCAGGAGATGGCGCTATGGAGATTTGCACCTTAGAACCAGGGGCCTGGCGGCCTGCAGTGACCGGTGCATGCTGGGGGATGGCGCTGTGGAGAACTGTGCCGTGGGAACCCGGGGCTGGCAGTCTGCAGTGACCGGTGAGTGCCAGGAGATGGCGCTGTGGTGATCTGCGCCCTGGGAACCAAGGACCTGGCAGTCTGCAGTGACTGGCGAGCACCAGGAGATGGCGCTGCGGAGATTTGCACCTGGGAGCCAGGGGTCTGGCGGCCTGCAGTGACCAGCGAGTAACAGGAGATGGCGCTGTGATTTGTACCTGGGAACCATGGGCCTGGCGGCCTGCAGTGACCAGCACATGCCGGGGGGTGGCGCTGCGGAGACCTGTGCCATGGGAACCCGGGGCTGGCGGTCTGCAGTGACTGGCGAGCGCCAGGAGATGGCGCTGTGGTGATCTGCGCCCTGGGAACCCCAGGCCAGGTGGTCTGCAGTGACTGGCGAGCGCCAGGAGATGGCGCTGCGGAGATTCGCACCTAGGAATCAGAGGCCAGGCGGCCTGCAGTGACCAGTGAGTGCCAGGAGATGGCGCTGCTGCAGAGATTTGCACTTTGGAACTAGGGGCCTGGAGGCCTGCAGTGACTGGCGAGTGCCAGGAGATGGCGCTGTGGTGATCTGCGCCCTAGGAACCAGGGGCCTGGCGGCCTGCAGTGACCGGCGAGCGCCAGGAGATGGCGCTGCGGAGATTTGCACCTGGGAACCAGGGGCCTGGCGGCCTGCAGTGACTGGCGCATGCTGGGGGGTGGCGCTGTGGAGACCTGTGCCGTGGGAACCCAGGGCTGGGTGCTCTGCAGTGACTGGCGAGTGCCAGGAGATGGCGCTGGGGTGATCTGCGCCCTGGGACCCTGGGGCCTGGCAGCCTGCAGTGACCGGTGCACGCCGGGGGGTGGCGCTGGGGAGACCGTGCGCAGTGGGAACCCCAGCCTGGAGGTTGGAGGCCCAGCAGGGCTTTCTCCTTTATTAGTTTAGGTCATCCTATCTTACTGTTTTTATTTTATCCCTGAGTTCCTCAGCTCAAGGCAGGCGCTCTACCACTTGAGCCACAGCGCCACTTTGGTTTTCTGGTAGTTCATTGGAGATCAGAGTCTCATGGACTTTCCTGCCCGGGCTGGCTTTGAACCCAGATCCTCAGATCTCAGCTTCCTGAGTAGCTGGGATGACAGGCGGGAGCCACTGGCGCCCAGTATGTCTCAAACTTTTATGCCCAGACTAGGTTCGAATCTCTGCTACCCAAGTAGCTAGAAGGACAGGCCTGGGCCACCACGCCAGTCTGTGTCACTTTTAAGTTCACACTGAGCAGATGCAAGTTTTTGTTTTCGTTTTAATAGGAAGCCTTTATATTCCTTTCAAATTTGGAATCTGTGCGTTTATCGGTTACTAGCGAGTCCTCTAGCCATGGTTCTGTGTTTCCCAAGAACTGGAGCGCCTCTGACTTCCCCAGGTTTGTTTTTGCTGATTCCAGTGGAAATACCTGTTCAGCCCCTTCAGCCAGGCTGGGGCAGGTGCAGGTGGCTGGTGACTCAGTCTACTTGAGGGGGGCCAGGCCCAGGTGATGTTGTGTTTGACTCATAGGTGGAAGGAAGAGTCGGTGAACCCAGAAAGAGCTCAAGGAACTTTTGCTCCCATAAAAATCTGCATGTGGAGGCTGGGAAGGTGGCTCAGTGGTAGAGTGCTTGCCTTGCATGCATGAGGCCCTGGGTTGGATTCCTCAGTACCACATAAGTAAAAAGAAAAAGCCGGAAGTGGTGCTGTGGCTCAAAGTGGTAGAGCGCTAGCCTTGAGCTGAAGAGCTGAGGGACAGCACCCAGGCCCAGAGTTCAGGCCCCACGAGTGACTGGAAAAAAAAAAAGCCTCAAAGACTTTTCTGCCACAAGCTGGGCTTGAACTGTGGAGATTCTCAGATCTCAGCCCTCTCGGTAGCTGGGATTACAGGCATGAGCCACTGCGCTCACTTGGCCTGTGTTTGGTCTTTGAGAATTGGCTTGTTATGTCCACAGTGCCTGCAATCCAAAGGGTGTAATGTAAGGTTTCTTGTTTCCATCTTTCTCTATGTTTGTTTTTTTCTGTGTGTGTGTGTGTGTGTGTGTGTGTGTGTGTGTTTCTTGTTAACAGCCCTTCTGATGGAATCTCTGTTTTGAATTGCATTTCCTGTATGACTAAAAATGTTCTACATGTATTTATAGATTTATTCTTCATCTGAAATATTAGCTAAAGCCAGGCATTGGGGTGGCCTTGAATTTCAACCTCAGTCAAACAAAAAGTCTGCATCTTTCAGACATTAGCACTTTTCTAATATGTCCAAGGTCCTGGGGTTGATCTTTGCCACCCTCATGCCCCCAGAAAAGAAAAAGAAACATCCCTTTGAGAAATCCCTTTGAGGGTGGACTGTGTGTTGTGCGATCAGCTTGTGACCTGGCTGGAGAGGCACAGAAGTGAGTTCTGAAATGACTTTTTCATGTAACTCTGAAGCTGGGAGACTCCAGAGATGAAGGGCAAAGGTCATCAGCCCTTGAATTGGATCAAAGAAATTTGGCTGGGAACAGCCCAGTCGCTGACGCTGGGGGGGGGGGGGGCCCACAGGCTTCGCATCCACATCGTGCGCCACACTCAGGGGGAATCTGCTGCTATTTTCGTGGGTGGGGGGAGTTGGGCAATTTCCTCTCCATTCATGGGCCTTTATGAACTGCTCTTTGTAAAAGCTCTGGGGCTCAGACTGAGTCTTGTAAACACACTGAGTAAGTGGCTTGTTGGACATGTTTGACTGATCATCAAAGGAATTCTTTTATTCCCTTTATTTATTTCCTTTATTTATTTGGTTTCTTTGTCGGTCCTGGGGCCTGGGCGCTGTCCCTGAGCTTCTGTGCTCAAGGAGAGTGCTCTACCACTTTGAGTCACAGCTCCACTTCTGTTTTGTTTGTGCTGTCGGTCCTGGGGCTTGAACTCTGGGCCTGGGCGCTGTCCCTCAGCTCTTCAGCTCAAGGCGAGCGCTCTACCACTTGAGCCACAGCGCCACTTCCGGTTTTTTCTGCTCATGTGGGGCTGAGGAATCGAACCCGGGGCGGGAGGCAGGCGCTCTCCCGCTGAGCCACCTTCCCAGCCCCTACTCCCGTTCTTCTTCTTTTGGGTGGTTCATTGGAGATAAGCGTCTCAAGCATTTTCCGGCCCAGGCTGGCTTTGAACCGCGATCCTCAGCTCTCAGCCTCCTGAGTAGCTGCGATGACAGGCGCCCCAGCTAGGACTAAGTATTTTTGTCGTTGTTGTGGCTGTGGTGTTGGTCCTGGGGCTCGAACTCGTGGCCTCGTGCTGTCGTTGGGCCTTTCCACCCACGGCTGACGCCCGACGAATGGAGCCACAGCTCCGCTTCTGGCTTTCTGCTGGTTCACCGAGGACACAGTGTGTCGGGGGCTCTCCTGCCTGGGCTGGCTTCGAACCGCCACGCCCCGGACCTCAGGCCCCCGGACCTGCCTGGGTGGCAGGTGTGCGGGGCAGCGGGGCCGACTGAGGGGAGCCGCTCCCGGGGCGGAGCCACCCAGGGGCGGGCCTGTACAGGCCACGCCCACGGGCGGAGTCTAGACAGGCCACGCCCACGACGGGCCTGGACAGGCCACGCCCACGGGCGGAGTCTAGACAAGCCACACCCACGGGCGGGCCTGGACAAGCCACGCCCACGGGCGGGCGCGCCTGGACAAACCACGCCCACGGGCGGAGTCTAGACAAGCCACGCCCACGGCGGGCCTGGACAAGCCACGCCCACGGTCGGGCTCGCCAGGGGGCTGCGTTCCCGGCTGGCGGGAACTCACCTAGCGTGCTCACGGTGGACTCAGGCGGAGGCGGGCGGCGGGCTGTGGCCGGTGTGCACAGTGCAGGACACAGGGCGGGCTCAGATCCCGCGGCCCTGCAAGGCTGGCAAGGGAAAGGCTGAGGAAGGCGGCCTAGGCGGGGAGTCCTGACTACTGGAAGACGCCGCGAGGCCACGCCTTCCGGCCAAAAGAGAAGAGGGGCGAGGCTTGCAGCAGCAACCAATGAGAAGTGAGGAGAAAGGCGGGGCTTGCATGACAAGCAGCCAGTCAAAACGGGCGGGCGAGCCGGGCCGTGGCTCCCGCTCTGCGCAAGCGTAGAACGACTACGGGGGCGCGTTTGCGCCAACTAGGTCCAGTGGAGAGGCGCGTGCCGGGTCACGTGACGCCAAGGGCGCGCGCAGACGTCCGCGGCGTTCGGGGCCGTTTCCTGTAGGTGATGGCTGGAGGGCCGTGGGGGCCCGAGCTTGCGAAAGCCTCTTGATGGTCTGGGGTTCAGAGTCAGGTTCGGGGAGCGGGGTTCACCCCCGGGCAGCCGGCCCGGGGCAGGGCTGGGCCTCGCACCTCCTGATGACGACACGCGGGGGGGGGGGGGAGGCTCCCTGTTTGGATGCCTCTGTGATTGCGTGCGCCCGCGGGTGACGTCAGGGGGCGGGGCCGGCGGGGCTCTCGGCAGAGCCTGGAAGCCGGACGGGAGGGCGTGGCTCGTCACAGTGGGGGCGTGGCTTATCCGCGGAGGGGGCGTGGCGGGGGCGTGGCGGGGGCGAGGGGCCGTGCCCTCTTCCGGGTGAGATAATTGCTCTCGGGTGCGGGCCGGGGCGCACGGCGCGCTCCTTCCCTCAGGTCCGGCCTCATGGAGAACCCCGCGGCCGCGGCCCCCGCCGCGGACCCCTCCCCGGTGTTCCTGCTCCTGTCGTTCGGGACGCTGGTGGCCGCCCTGCTGGGCGCCGCTCACCGCCTGGGGCTCCTCTACCGGCTGATGCACAAGGTGCCAGGGCCGGGGAGAGGGGGGGGAGGCGGGCTGCGGGGAGGGAGGAGCCAAGACCCACAAAACTCCAAAACACCACCGCACACCGCACTCCGCACACCGCGCCTCGGAGAGAGCCCGGGGCGGGCTGCCAGCCCGGCCCGGCCCGAGGGCGTCCCCACGCCGCTGGACTTCAACCCCGCTCAGCGATCCCGGAAGCCGCGGGCGCTGCCCTCGCCCCCCGCCCCCGGCCGGGGTCACAGAGTTTGGGGTCACCCTCCTCCCCCCTCCCCCAGCCCCCCCCTCCCGCCGCCAAGGGCCCTGCGGCCCATCAACTCAGGATCGGGGCGGATCGTCTCACCCAGCCCCCGTGCCAGGTCACGTTAGGTGCCTGTTATTTCCACAAGGGGGAGACCAAGCCCGGGAAAGGTCACGGATGGGTCTGACCCCCAGGTGATCTGCTTGGGGAAGAGCTTTTGATCCGAGTTTAAAAGTCAATGAGTGAAAATCAAGCCGGGGCCGCTCACGCCTGTCATCCTCACTCCCCAGGAGGTTGAGATCCTGAGATCCTGAAGCCCAGCCCCGGGGCAGAAAAGTCCCATGAGACTCTTATCTCCAATAAACCAGAAGTGGCACTCTGGCGCCAAGTGGTACAGCACCAGCCTTGGGGGAAGGAGCTCAGGGACCAGCGCCCAGGCCCAGAGTTCAAGCCCCACAATCCACGAAAAGCAGAGACATTTACACTGAGCTCAGGCATTCGTTCTTGCTGAGGGTGACAACGATGTGGGGGCTGGATGCTCATGGCTGTCTCTGCCAAGCAGATGCCTCCCTGCCAGGCATGCGGCTGGCAGCCTGACAGCAGGGCATGCCCAGCAGAACCAGAGAAAGGCAGGTAAGTAAGGCTTGAGTGAGCAGTCAGATAGTCAGGCCCTGCGGGGACAGGAGTTAGCAGCATTGCCCTCTGAGCTCTGGCCCAACCTCCCGGGCCTGTGAGGATTCACCTTCTCTTTCCTCTTCCTGGTCTCCCCAACATCTCTGGGGAGCAGGCAGGTATGAGGCCCTTGAGAATGTGGGTTCTATCGGACTGTCCATCTTGCTCAGGCAAGTCAAGTCTTATCTTTAGCCACGGGAGGGGACAAAATGCCCAAGGATTGATACCATCTCGTGCTCTGATCTGGAACCTGGAATATTGTGGGGGTATGTCTCTAGCCAACACCCACATTCCTCAGGCCCCCCCTTCTCTTGGAGGGGTGGCACCGGGGATTGAACTCAGGGTCTTGAGCTGGAACTTGAACCTCCCCACCACCCCCTTTTTGGCTATCATCATTTTTCAGGTAGTTATTGTTTAGGTAGGGTCTCATGATTGTGTCCAGGGCCAGAGCCACACCGCGATCCTCCTGTCTACCCATGTCACCGGGGTTGCAGGTGCTCCTCACCAAGCCCAGCTTATTGATGTGAGGTGTGGTCTCGCTCAGGTTTAGTCTAGGCTAGCCTTGAAATGTGAACTCATCTCTGGGATTACAGGTGTGTGAGCTGCCATGCCTGGCTTTGATCTTTCTTTCTCTCTCCCCTACTCTTTTGGCCGAATAGGTTTGAACCTAGGACCTGTGGGGTGCTCATATTCCTCTAATGCTTTTTGCTTTGGTTATATTTTGAGATAAAGCCTGACTTTGCTTCGGCTGGCCTCCGTGTTCCTCCCAATTTTAGCCTCCTCTGTAATTTAGAGTAGCATGAGTGCTGTGGTGATCTGCTGTCAACTGAGAACAGGCCGTGTGCACTTACTTTTGCCTGAGCTGGCTTTGAGCAGTGATCCTCTTAATCTCAGCCTCTTGAGTAGCTGGAATCACAGGCGTGAGCCTGCATGTCCAGATAGGCTTCACGTTTATTTATTTACTTTTGGTTCTCCTATTGGGGCATGAACTCAGGGCCTTGTACTTGAAGCTGGTGTTCTACCACTTGAGCCGCAGTTCCACTTTTGGCTTTTTGCCGGTCCACTGAAGAAAAGAGTGTCACAGGCCTTCCTGCCCAGGCTGGCTTCCAACGGTTGATCCTGGATTTCAGCCTCCTGTGTAGCCGGGATTAGACGTATGAGCTGGTGGCTCATACCTGTCAGTTCTGTGTTTGGTGGAGCTGGGCTTTCCACACTGCCTTCTGCTTACCAGGCAGGCGCTCTACCCCTTGAACCAGGCCCCCTGACCACGGGCCCCACCCCCACCCCCTCGTGCAGGTGGACAAGGCGAGCATCCGGCATGGTGGAGAGAGCGTGGCGGCCGTGCTCCGGGCCCACGGCGTGCGCTTTGTCTTCACGCTGGTCGGGGGCCACATCTCCCCGCTGCTGGTGGCGAGCGAGAAGCTGGGCATCCGTGTGGTGGACACAAGACACGAGGTGACCGCCGTCTTTGCCGCGGACGCAGTGGCCCGCCTGACAGGTGAGGGCGTTGCTGTGGCGTGGGGACCCCGGGGGGCTGGGAGGAAAGCGGGGGAGGGTGGTCGGTGGGACGGGAGCGGAGGTGACCCGAGTCTGTGGTCCAGGGACGGTGGGCGTGGCCGCGGTGACCGCGGGCCCGGGCCTCACCAACACGGTGACGGCGGTGAAGAACGCGCAGGTGGCTCAGTCTCCGGTCCTGCTCCTGGGAGGGGCGGCCAGCACGCTGCTGCAGGTGCGTGGTCCCCTGGGGCCTGGGAGGGGGCTCCTGGGGCTCAGGTGGTAACAGTGTGGGGGGGCTCCCCCTTCTCCGCCAGAAACGGGGTGCCCTCCAGGCCATCGACCAGATGTCCCTGTTCCGGCCACTCTGCAAGTTCTGTGCATCTGTCCGGAGGGTGCGGGATATCGTGCCCACCCTGCGGGCTGCCATAGCTGCCGCCCAGTCGGACACCCCAGGTGAGGGTGGCCGGGCAGTGGGCTGGCCGGGGGTCCGGGGGGGGCTGCTGGAGGTGAGGGGCGCCCAAGGGGGCTGCCAGAGTTCAGGGGGGCCCGGGGGCTGCCGGAGGTGAGGGGGCTGGGGGGGGGCTGCTGGAGGTGAGGGGGCCGGGGGGGCTGCCGGAGGTGAGGGGGCCCGGGGGGGGGGCTGCCGGAGGTGATGCAGGCACGGGCCCCTCCCTGTCCCTGCAGGCCCCGTGTTTGTGGAGCTGCCCCTCGACGTGTTGTACCCTTACTACATGGTCCAGAAAGAGATGATTCCTGCACAGGTGCCCAAAGGCCTCATGGGTCGCGTGGTCCTCTGGTGAGCAGGACCATTCCCACCACACCCTTCTCCCTCCCCGCAGCCCTCCCCTCCTCTGAGCAGAAAGAGCCAACCCGGGTGAAAAGCGGTCCAGGTAGAGAAGGAGCAGCATGTGCAAAGGTCCTGAGGTTGGAGTGAACCTTGGTGGATTGAAAGAGCAATGAGGTTATGGCAGCAGATGAGCGGAGTCAGTGACTGAGCTCAGAACAGCACTCCTTCCCTTCCTCCTCTACCCTCCTCCTCCTCTACCCTCCTCCTCCTCTTCCTATTCTTTCTTTCCTCCCCCTGACCCCAACCTGGAGGCTTGAACTCAGCCTGGGTGCTGTCCTTGAGCTGTTCTTTTGCTCAAGGTTAGTACTCGACCACTTTGAGCCACAGCTCCACTTCTGATTTTGTGGTGGTTAATTGGAGGTAAGAGTCTGATGGATTTTCCTCCTGGGCTGGCTTTGAACTGTGATCCTCAGATCTCAGCTTTCTGACTAGCTGGGAATAGAGGTATGAGCCACCAGCTTCTTTCTTTCTTTTTTTTTGGGGGGGGGGATGGGAGAGCATACCTTATTGGAGCTTGAACTCAGGGCCTAGCTTGTTACCCTTTCGCTTTTCTTTTGCACAAGGCTAGCACTCTGCTACTCGAGCCACAGCTCTACTTCTGCCCCTTTGGGCGGTTGGCACTGGCATCCTCGGATCGCAGCTTTCTGAGTAGCTAGGATTGCAGGCGTGCGCCACCAGCTCCTGGCTCTCTCTCTTCTTTTTGCTCTCCCTCGGCCTCTTCCCTTTGTCCATCCTCCTTTCTCTTTCTGTATATGTAGTAAGTACCAGCTATGCCTCAGATTCCAGGCCGGCCATAGGGTGACACTGGTGAGGAAGACATTCGGGTCCCCGTGTCCGGCGGTGTGGGCCGTGCTCCGGCTTAAGGCTGACGTTAGCAGGAGCCACTTGCTGTCCGATGCCCTCAGCCCCTCCTCACCCTGTCCCCGTCCCTCCTGCCCCTCCCTGGCCCTCGGGAGGCCTCATTTCCCCGTAGTCTGGGCTCCTCTCCATCTGCCCTTGGCCTCCTTGGCCTTTCTCTATGCAATTGTAGGCGTTTGCCTCTGGGTCAACTCTTCTGCCAGTGCCCACGTGCCTACCTTCCCGGGTTAAACGTGCCTTGAAGGCCAGCCTGGGCTGGAATCGTGTGTGCATCCAGGGCATCCACACAGGGCCTTTGGGAAACTCAGGATTCTGTAACATAAACTCTGGCCTTGCGCTTGCTAGGGCCGTGAACCAGTGCCCTGCCCGCCCCCCCTGGCTGAGCCACGCCCCTCGGCAGAACCACGCCCCATGCCCCAGCTGGGCGGGACCACGCCCTTGACGAGCCACGCCCCTCTACAAAGACCACACCCCCACAGATAAGCCACACCTCTACTGTTGAGCCACTGCCCCACCTCTGGGCCACGCCCACTGAAGCCCAGTCCCACACCTTCCCTATACAGGAAGCCACGCCCATATCGCCAAGGCCACACCCCCAAGTTAGGCCACACCCCCGTAGGAAGTCCGGCCCTCCCAGGTGAGCCATGCCCCAGTCCTCCCTCAAGGAGCTTTTTACATTTATTTTTATTTATTTATTTTTTTTTTGTCAGTCCTGGGCTTGAACTGTGGGCCTGGGCTCTGTCCCTGAGCTTTTAAGCTCAAGGCCAATAGCTCTACCACTTTGAGCCACAGCTCCACTTCCAGTTTTCTGGTGGTTCATTGGAGATAAGAGTTTCATGGACTATCCTGGCCCGGCTGGCTTCAAACTATGATACTCAAATCTCAGCCTCCTGAGTAGCTAGGATGACTGGTGTGAGCCACCAGCTGGCAAGGAGCCTTTTAAAAAACTGCACGTGCTAGGGATGGAGCCATGCCCTGTCCATAGGCCTCACCCACAGCCCACAGTGAACCTTAAGATCTAAATGGGCTGAGGGTGGACCTTTGGGGGGCATTCTACAGCGGGAGAAGCTCAGAGGGGCACTGTCACCTGCCTACTGCCCTACAGCTGGGATGGGGCCCAGACGGCCGGAGCCTGTCTGTCTGGCCCTCCTCTCCACCCTCAGCTCCTGGAGTCCCCTTGTTAACACTGGCAAAGTGCTTCCTTCCTGCTAGGTGCCAGTGGCTCCCGCCTGTCATCCCAGCTACTCAGGAGGCTGAGATCTGAGGATCAGTAGTCCAAAGCAAGCTGGGCCAGGGAAGTCCCTGAGACTCTTGATCTCCATTGAACCACCAGCAAACTGGAAGTGGTGCCGTGGCTCAAGTGGTAGAGCGCTCACCTTGGACTGAAGAGTTCAGGAACAGGGCCCAGGCCCAGAGTTCAAGCCCCACGACTGACAAAAGAAAAAAAAAAGTGCTTCCTTCCTGTCTCACGCCCAGGTACTTAGAGAACTGCCTGGCCAACCTGTTTGCGGGCGCCTGGGAGCCTCAGCCTGAGGGGCCTCTGCCCCTGAACATCCCCCTGGCGCCCCCCCAGCAGGTGAGCGGCCTGTGCTCCTGCCCACCCCTCCCTCAGTCGGGCCTGGGTGTGAGCTGGTCCTGGGGAGTGAACTCGGTGTGGATGCCGTCCTTCCTTACTCACTCAGGGCTTGCTCTCTACCGCTTGAGCCACAAGTTTCACTTTTCCACGTTTTGATGGCTGATGGGAGATAGGAGACTCACGAACTTCCAGATCGCATCCTCCAGAGTAGCTCGGGTTACAGGCTTGGCCGGGGAGCAGGAGGGTGGTGGGGAGGGCTGTGCTCGATCTGGAACCTTTTGTCCCAGGTTCAGCGCTGCGTGGAGATCGTGAGCCGGGCCAAGAAGCCGCTGCTGGTGATGGGCAGCCAGGCCCTGCTGCCCCCGACCCCCGCTGCCCGGCTGCGGTGAGGGCCTCGGCTCTGCCCCCTCCCATGCCGCCTGGTCCCTGGGGTTCTCACGCCCCAGGGCCACACGCTGACCTTTGTCCTGCCTGGACCCCGCAGGGCTGCCGTGGAGACCCTAGGTGTCCCCTGCTTCCTGGGAGGGATGGCGCGGGGGCTGCTGGGTCAGAACCACCGCCTTCACATCCGGCAGAACCGTGGTGCAGCCCTGAAGAAAGCTGATGTGGTCATCCTGGCAGGTGAGCGTCCTCTCCTCCTCCCTCCCCCCTGCCACCCTGCCCCTCCTCCTCGCTGGCGCCCACCCTCCCTCTCTTCCCCTCCCTCCCTCTCTTCCCCTCCCTGCCTCTTACGTGATTGAAGGAGCTCCAGTCTGGATGTGAGTGAAACCCGTGCTGTGGGCGTGACCCAGCTGCCCACGGAGGTTACACACCAAGGGGACACGTGTGTGTTGACACACGTGACATGATGTGCTTTGAGAGCCGCCACATGCCCCGAGAGCTGTGTCTGTGAGCTCTGACTGTGTCCACACCCGCTCCCACGAACCCTGACGTATCCCTAGGGACAGGACCCTGGGATAGACACAGGGCTGGGCGCTGGGCGGGCTCGCTGTCGCGAGCTGACATCACAGCATCCGTTTCAGAAGCCAGTGGGCCACCACCCCACTCGCTGGGCAGATATCTGTGCGTTCCATCCTCCCCCAAGGTGTCTCGAAATGGCTGGGCGCTGGCGGCTCACGCCCGTCATCCCAGCTACTCAGGAGGCTGAGATCTGAGGATCGAGGTTCAAAGCCAGCCCAGGCAGGAAAGTCCCTGTGAGACACTTATCTCCAATAAACCACCAGAAAACCAGAAGTGACGCTGTGGCTCAAAGTTGGTAGAGTGCTTGTCTTGAACAAAAAAAGGGCTTAGGGACAGTGCCCAGGCCCTGAGTTCAAGCCCCAGGACTGACCCCCCCCCAAAAAAAAAGTCATTTTATGGAGTGGGACTATAATTAGCTTTTCCAAACTCAGTGGCTTACAAAACATTTATTATTACTATGTTTTTAGACTTCCCCCGCCCCCCCTCTTTTTGGTAGTTCTAGAGTTTGAACTCAGGGCCTTTTTTGATTGGTAAGACAGGAACTTAATCACTTTTGTGGGGGGGGGAGGGGAGGGTTTGTGGGTTGTGGGGCTTGAACTCCAGGCCTGGGCGCTGTCCCTCAACTCTTCAGCTCAAGGCTAGGGCTCTCTCGCTTGAGCCACAGCGCCACTTCTGGTTTTCTGAGTGGTTTATTGGAGATAAGAGTTTCATGGACTTTCCTGCCCGGGCTGGCTTTGAACTGTGATCCTCAGACCTCAGCCCTCTGAGTAGTTAGGATGACAGGCGGGAGCCACCAGCGCCCAGCGAACTTAACCACTTGAAGTGCTACCCTGGCACTCAGGACACGTGTATGATTACTTAAGACCTGCCAATATGGTCAGTGTCTCATGCGTGTAACCCCAGCTACGTGGGAGGTGGAAATGGAGAGGCTTGTCATTCATTCGAGGTCAGCCTGGGCTAACAGAGAGCCAAGATCCCCCGTCAACAGAGAACCCAGGCATGGTGGTCCATACATGGGGTTCCAGTTACATGGGAGGCTGGAGGCAGGAGGACTGTGAACGTCGGTTGTCCTGTTCACAGGATGAGACCCCATTTGGAATATTAAAGAAAAAAAAAGCGGGGGGAGGGTTAGGGTTTGTGGCTCAAGAGGTAGAACTGTGTGCCAGCCAAGCACTTAGACCCTGAGTTCAAATCCCTCCTTTCCTTCCCTCCCTCCTCTCCTTCCTTCCCTCCCTCCCTCCTTCCTTCCCTCCCTCCCTCCTTCCTTCTTTCCTTCCTTCCCTCCCTCCTTCCCTACTTACCTCCCTCCCTCCTTCCTTCCCTCCCTCCCTCCTTCCTTTTTCCTTCCCTCCCTCCCTACTTCCCTCCCTCCCTCCTTTCTCTCCTTCCCTCCCTCCCTCCTTCCTTCTCTCCTTCCCTCCCTCCCTCCTGCCTTCCTCTCCTTCCTTCTCTCCCTCCCTCCCTTCCTTGGTGCCAAGGCTCTAGCAGGTGGGGACATGGAGGTCATCTCCAGTTCTTGAAGTCTCTTGAGGTCTGGCCTCAGAAACGTCACACTGTGGTTTGTGCCACATTCTCCTTTTTTTTGGGGGGGGAGCGGGCAGCCCCAGGGCTGGAACTCAGGGCTGGGCGCCACCCCTAGTGTTTTCACTCCAGGCGTCTCTTCCTTGGGTGGTTCACTGGAGACGAGAGTCCCAAGGGCTTTTCCTGCCAGGGCTGCTTTGACCTCAGTCCTCAGTCCTCAGCCCTCAGCCTCCCTCGTAGCTAGGATGACAGGCGGAAGCCCCGGGCCTCCACGTTGTGAGTCCGAGCCACTCCTGAGGCGAAGAGCCACAGAGCCGGCCGCGGGCGGCTCAGGTGCCAGGATGGGTGGGAACGGGGACTCCGTGGGCCCCCGTGGATCTGAAGGGAGGCCCTCCTCCACCGACGCCCCTGCTCGCCCCAGGAGCCGTGTGTGACTTCCGTCTCGCCTACGGCCGCGTCCTCAGCCGCAGGAGCCGGATCATCGTGGTGAATCGGAACCGCGCTGACATGCTGCTCAACTCCGACATCTTCTGGAAACCTCAGGAGGCTGTCCAGGGTGTGTGCCAGGCCTTCGCCCGGCCCCTCGGTCATCCGGGCAGCTCACCATCGGGGCTGGCGGTGAGGGTGGGGGGTGGGGGTGGATGGGGGCTCCTGGGGACGGCCCCGCCCTTGCTGCCACTCACAACCCGAGCCTCCCATCCACGCTGCCCCTCCCGACTTCACGCTGAGGGCATGGCCAGACCCCGATCACCAGTGAACCACCACAATGCCAGACGTGGCGCTGTAGCTCAAGTGGTAGAGCGCCCGCCTTGCACAAAGGAGCTCAGAGACAGCGCCCAGGCCTTGTGCCCAAGCCCAGAACGTTCGCGTCCCATATGCAGGGCCCTGGGTTCTAGCTCCAATAAGTTGGGGTGGGTGGGAGACAGGACAGGGATGAGAGGCCGTGATGAGAAATTGAATGTCTCCCCACGCCTGGATCGTTTCTGTGATTGGATGGCACGAGCCCCATCCACCGGCTTTAGTGTTGGATGTTTCCCCGGAGAGCTTTGTGTCTTCCTTGGGAACTTGCCTGGTGGTGGCGCTGTGGCTTTTGTTCCTTTGTGCCAGTCCTGAGCTTGAACTCAGGTACTGTCCCTGGGCTCAAGGGTGGCGCTCTACCACTTGATCCACACTTCCACTTCTGCTTTCCTTATCTGGTTCATTGGCCATAAGCGTCTCATGGACTTTGCTGCCTGGGCTGGCTTTGAACCTTCATCCTCAGATCCTGGCCTCCTAAGTAGCTGGGATGACAGGGTGGGAGTCAGCAGCTCCCACAGGGAACTGTTTTTATCAGCGTAACAGAGACCAACTTGACAGGACTTGGGGATCAGGACTGTACCCCGAGCCTCCCATTTCCCTTGTCTTGCCCATCAGGCCTGGCCCTCCCGGGCCCTCACAGGCTCTGGGTGCCTCTGGCCTCCATGGCCTCCCGATTGCTTTTGTTTGGACTTGGCTGTTGGCCTCCTGCTGAGCTGCCCCCTTCCCTTCCCCAGGCGACATAGGCTCCTTCATGCTGAAGCTGGTGGAAGGCCTTCAGGGCCAGACGTGGGCTCCGGACTGGCTGGAGGAGCTGCGGGAAGCCGATCGGCACAAGGAGCAGACCTTCAGGTGGGCGTGGCGTGTGTGTGTGTGTGTGTGTGTGTGTGTGTGTGTGTGTGTGTGTGTGTGTGCCGCTTGCCGCTGGCCCTGCTCACCACTGCCATCCATCCCAGGGAGAAGGCAGCCATGTCTGTGGGCCAGCACCTGAACCCCGTGCGGGTGTTGCAGGCCGTGGAGGAAGCGCTACCTGACAACGCCTTGCTTGTGGTGGATGGCGGGGACTTTGTGGCCACCGCCGCCTACCTGGTGCAGCCCCGTGGGCCTCTGCACTGGCTTGACCCTGGTTAGGAATGGCCCATGCAGGGGTGGGGAGGGGGGAGGGTAGCTTGCCCAGCTGGACCATCCCCGTGGGTGTGGATGCCCATGCCCATGTGTGTGTGTGTTTTGTCCCTCTAGGGGCCTTTGGGACTCTGGGAGTTGGTGCAGGGTTTGCACTTGGGGCCAAGCTGTCCCAGCCGGATACGGAGGTGAGGCACTGGATGTGGGAGACTTGCAGCTCTCCGGGCCGGGAATTCCCCTAACCACCCCGGTCCCCCCTCCCCCCTTACCAGGTCTGGTGCCTGTTTGGGGATGGAGCCTTTGGCTACAGCCTCATGGAGTTCGACACGTTCGTCAGACACAAGGTGACTGAGCCGCTGCCCCCCATTCTGGAAGATGTGGTGGCGTGGGGGGGGGGGTGCCGAGGGTGGGGGAGGGCTCTTGCCCTCGGGCTGCCCACAGCCTGGCCTTTTTTTTTTCCTTGTAGATCCCAGTGATGGCCTTGGTAGGGAATGATGCAGGCTGGACCCAGATCTCCCGGGAGCAGGTGCCCAGACTGGGCAGCAACGTAGCCTGCGGCCTAGCCTACACAGGTGAGGGGTCTCAGTGGAGTTGTGGGAGTGGAGGGATCTGTTTCAGGCCCAGCTGGATGTCCGTTCCTCTCCTGGGCCGACTTCATGGGGGGGGGGGGGGCGCGGCTGGAGCTCTGCTGCCATCTGACTTTTGGCCTCCTCTTTCAGATTATCACAAGGCAGTCATGGGTCTGGGAGCCCGGGGCTTGCTGCTGTCAGGGAAGAGTGAGGACCAGGTGGCCGAGGTGCTGCGTGAGGGCCAACGGCAGTGCCGGGATGGCCACCCAGTCGTGGTCAACATCCTGATTGGGAGGACGGACTTCCGCGATGGCTCCATTTCCATGTAGGGACTCCCGGGGCTGGTGTGCCTGGCTCCCTGCTCCCGGACTCTGCTTGGCTGGTTTGGAGTCTTATCCCTGTGGGATCTGGACCTAGTCCGGAAGCTGCAGTGACTCGACAACCCTCCCTGGAGGGAGCTGGTGGGATCAGAACTCAGAGAAACACCTGGCAGCCCTGGAGAGCTTTGGGCCCTTGTCTCTACAGACCTGACCGTCCCCTTTCTTCTTATCTGAATAAATCCCCTCCGGCTCATGAGGGCCCAAGGACTCAGACGCAGATCTTGTGCATATTGATTTATTGTTCACAAAGGTGGAGGTGAGGGGAAGGAAGACCAGAAGGGAACCTGATTCCCACTGAACTATTGGGGACATCAGGGTGCCTGGACATGGTGAATTCTTCCCCCCTGTCATCCCTGAAAAAGCCACACACCTCCTCTGAACATGTCCACATGCACACGCATACACACACATACACAAAGTGCCTGGACATGGTGAATTCCTCTCCACTCGGTGGTCCCTGAAAAAGTCCCACACCTGTTCTGAACATGTCCACACACGTCCACTCACCCACCCACACCCATGCCCACACACACACACACACACACACACACACACACACACACACAGAGGCAATAAATATATTCTGTACCAAAGTGCCCAGCCTGACAGTTCAGGTGGGGCCCCTCTGAAGGGGAGGGGTTAAGTGCTCAATTTTCTTCAGGGGTGAAGGGACACCTGGAGAAGGGAAGGGTCGGTTGGACTTATATTTCCGCATGTTGTGGTGGCAGATCTTGGGGGGGGGGGTCTTCCCTGGGAAAAGAGGCTGGGGGAAGGCAGCCCCTATTGGGCTGGAGCCAGGATAGGGGCTACTACCCTCACACAGTGCCTTTCTTCAATCCCGCAGGGAGAGGGAGAAACAGAGTACAGTGATCAAAGCTAATACTGATTTGGTTGGCAGCAAGAGGACTGGGGTGTGTGTGTATGTGTCACCCCAGGGTGATACTCACAGTAACTGGTGTCTCCCCTGCAAAGGGGGAGGGGCAAGAGAGGGCGGCCTGCCAGGCAGGACAGACTTCTGGCAGCAGGAGAATCCCTGGAGCTAGAGCCTAAGACTTGCCCCAGTGCCTGGCTTTTGCAACTGGTGTCCAAACACTGGGTGCTAGAAACTAGGAATGATCTCAGCACAGGAGGCTGGTCCCTAAGAACAAGGGCTGAAGTTGAGCTGCTGACGTCCGGACAGTTACGGCCCAGCCTGTAACCAGGGGTCCCACTCTGGGTAACGGGGGTCCTGGTCCTTGGTAACTAACTAAGGCACGGCTCCGCGGTAGTCAGTGTCCGGGATCCCCGTGCTCGGTAGCGGGCGCCGGCCCTTGGCAGCGGGGTCCCCGCGCTCTGCGGCTCAGAGGCACACGTTAATCTGCTTGGAAAGCTCTCTTTCCAGGTCCAGGATGAGGGCATCGAAGTCTTTGAGGTTCAGGTGCGGGTTGAAGGGCGCGTCGAACTCATCCTCGAAGTCGGCAGCACCCCGCGATCCGCCGTTCTCCTCCTCGTCCTCCTCCTCGCCGTCGCTGCCCGCCACGTGGTCGTAGTCGGGCCCCGACAGGAAGTCCCGCCCACAAGGAAGGAAGTCCCGCCCGCACACGCTCCAGTCTCCGGCGTAGCGGTTGCTTGGAGGGCTCTCTGGGCCCCCGCGGTCACGGGGCCGGGTCACCACCTCGGGGCCCGCGAGAGGCAAGTGCCGCGGTGGTGGCTGTCGCTTGGGCCGCAAGTGTGGCACGACATCCGGAGCCTCTGGGGGCCGGCAGGGATCTGAAGGGAGCACAGGGATGGCTCTATGCTCACGTCTTTCACGGCAACGGCAATCAGGCTCCTGATTGGCTCGGGAGAGGCAAGGCCTCAGCCAGGTAAGGATTTCATTGGCTGGGTGTGAGATAGTTAGGCCTCTGATTGGCAGGCCAAGAGGACGAACTTAAACAGTTTACAGATGAGGGGGCGTGGCCCCCTTTAACTCCTAAACACTGATTGGCTGCCCGGGAGAAGGACTAACACACGCCTGCCTGGATTGGCGGCACAGATCTGTGGGCGGGCTCACCTGGCCAAGACTGCAGCAGGTAATGCAACACCTCGATGTGGCGCTTGAAGTCTACCGCGCTGGCAACGCCGGGGCCGGAACCGCGCACGCGGGGCCGGGCCGGTGCCTGGCGTGCCGGCAGCAGCACGGGTCCGAAGCACACGGCCAGATTCTGCGGGGTCATGCGGTTGTGGGCGTGGAAGGAGGAGACAAGGCGCAGGTGGTCCAGGAGTAGCGTCAGCGTGGCCTGCGGGGAGGGTGAAAGGTGGGCATGAGGTGGCAGAGCCGAGCTCCAGCGCACCTATGGGGGAGACACGGGTGGTGTCTGGACCCAGAGTGGGGAGACCGAGGTCCACGTCTTCTAGCTGGAAGGTGACCATGATAAATGGGCGGGGGGGGGGGGGGGGGGGGAGGGGCGCTGGAGCTTGAACTTAGGACCTCGCACTCTGACTTGGCTTTTTGACCTAAGGCTGGTGCTCTAGCACTTGAGCCATAGGTCCACTTTTTTTTTTTTTGCTGGTTAATTGAAGCTAAGAATCCCCATGGCTTTCCTGCCCTGGCTAGTTTGGAACTGTAACCCTCAGATCTCAGTATCTTGAGTAGCTAGGATTACAGGGGTGAGCCGGATGCGTCTGTTTTTGACATTTGCTTTCTTGGGCAAGTCACTCCACTACTCTGGGTCTTGGTTTTTTATCATGGACGAGGCATTTAACTGTACCCGCTCTGTGGGAATGGGGTGTTGGTCCCGCAGGTGATGCAGGCTCAGGCCCAGGTGGGTTAACTCACCCTTTCCACATCAGGCAAGCAGCTGAGAAGCCCTCGGGTACCCTCTGGACCTGGGGGAGCCCTGCTTGGGGGTCCTTGAGCCATAGCTTCCAGCACCACCTGATAGAGAGGCTGGGTGATGAGTGGAGTGGGCAGCTCCCGAAGGTAATCTTTGAGGATGCCTGTAGACACAGCCGCCTGCAGTCAGGGGTGGGGCAGGGGTGTCTGCAGACACCAGGCCACCTGTGAGGTCAGGGTTGAAAGGGGGCAGAGTGGGGAGGGCGAGAAGGGGGCCGGTTTGACCTGTGATGACGTTGATATCCGGATACAGGTCCTCGGAGAGGCAAACAGCCCCACTGTCTCGCTCAAAGGCATCCCGAAGCTCTTTCTTCACAGCCGCAGAGCCGCACAGACGGTACAGCCCCACTACCTGGTGGTGGGGAGAGACTGGGGTTTGAACTCATGGCCTGGCACTTGTTAGGAAAATGCTTTACCACTGACCTCTATGCTCCCAGTCCTTTGGGGTCCTTCCCTCCCTCCCCCTCTTAGTCCTGGGGCTTGAACTCTGGGCCTGGGCACTGTCCCTCAGCTCTTCAGCTCAAGGCAAGCGCTCTACCACTTGAGCCACAGTGCCACCTCCACCTTTTTCTGTGTATGTGGTGCTGAGGAATTGAACCCAGGGTTTCATGCATGCTAGGCAAGCACTGTACCTCTGAGCCTCCTTCTTAGCCCTAAGTTTGTTTTTTTCAGATAGAGTCCTGAGCCTCACTTTGCCCAGGCTGGCTTTGAACCTTCATCCTCCTAACCCCGTTGTGACGGTAGGCATGCACCACCACACCCCACTCTTCCCTTCTTGACCTCTTCTCCCAGCTGCAGTTTGGCAGCTGTAGGCTATGGCTCATGGTATTTCTCCCTGGAAACGGAACTCAAGGGACAGGTGGGATTGTATTATTAAACATTTCAGTGATCGATGGAGGCGGGGACTCAGGCCCGTCATCCCAGCTAGTCAGGAGGCTGAGATCTGAGGATCGTGGTTCAAAGCCAGGCCGGACAGTCAAGTCTGTGAGACTCTTCTCTCTGATTAAAAAGCTGGAAGTGAGGCTGTGGCTCAAGTGGAAGCTAAGGAACAGCACTTGGAGCCTGAGTTCAAACTCCAGGACGCGCGCGCGCACGCACCGACACAGACAGACAGACAGACAGACAGACAGACAGACACACAGACAGACACACAGAACAGATCCAAGAACTGTAGCCTGGGTTCTCTGTCTTGGAGGGTGGTCAGGGCCCAGGGCTGGGCCGGGGTGGGGGCTCACCCGCAGCCCCCGGCGCTCGATCTGCTCCACGCACTTCTGGATGATGAGGGGCACCCGGCCGGGGGGCTGCTCGCGCTCCACCAGGAGGGGCAGAGGCAGCCCGAAGACGCGGGGCTCCGCGGGCGCCGGGGCGTCTCGCCGCTCGGCCAGGGTCAGCTTGGCGTACAGCAGCCCCTGGGGCTCCAGGCGGATGGCCAGCTGCTGGGCCTGGCACCCTGCGGGTGGACGGGGGCGAGGGGCTGAACCGGGGGGGCGCGCTCGCGGGGGGGGGGTGTGCACCCTCCCCCCTCCCTCCCCGCCCCGCCCACCTCGGAAGAGCGCGGGCAGCAGCACGGCGCCCTGGGCGCAGGGCCGGTGCCGCCGCACGCCGGGGTCCCAGGCCAGCACCAGCGCGCGCAGCAGGCGCGCGGCCTCCAGCTCCAGGTGGAAGGTGTGGTCGAGGCGCAGGAAGTCGGGGCCGGCCCGCAGCGGCCCCGTGCGGGCCCGGGCCGCCCCGTCCACCTGCAGCAGGCAGCACAGGTCGCGGGGCGCGGCGCCCGGCGCGGGCCGCAGCCCCCCGAGCCCGTACAGGTGCAGGCTGAGGCGCCCCGAGAGCGCGGCGGGCGGCGCGCGGCCGGCGGCGGGGCCCGCGCGGTACGGCCGGAAGGCGGCGGCGGCGGCGGGCGCCGGGGGCCCCGCGGGCCGCTCCGGGGAGTCGCCGTCGCTCAGGTAGCCGAACCTCGGGGGCCGGGGGGCCGCGGGCGCGCGCCCCGGGCCCCCCACGCTGCTGTCCAGGTGGTAGCGGCTGATGACCGAGCCCGCCGGCGCGGCCCCCGCGCGCTCGCGCTCCCGGCCGGCCCGGGGCCCCCGCAGGCTCAGGCGGCGCCGCAGCTCCGGCAGCTTCTTCATCTTCATGGACAGGCGGCGGGCCGGGCCCGGGGACTTGGTGCGGGAGGCCTTGGGCGCGGGGCCTGCGGGGGGCGGAGCCGTCAGGGCGGAGGCGGCCGGGCGGGGCGGAGGCCGGAGGGGGGCTGGGGGGGAGGCCGGGCGGAGGGTAGAGGTCGGAGGGGGGGTGATGGGGGGGGGGGGAGGCCCGGCCGGGGCGCCCTGCCCCTTACCTTGGGGCGCGGGCCCGTCGGGCTCGGCCGGGCCCGGCGGGGCCCCCGGGGGCGGCTGGGGCGCCGGCGCCCGCGGGTCCTCCTCGGGGATGGGGTTGTACCAGATCTCGCCGGCGGGCTCCCCGCCGCCGCCGCCCGGGGCCCCGGGCCCCGCCGCCTCCTCGGGGGGCTTGGCGCCGCCCAGGACCCACCGGCGGCTGCTGGGCTCCAGGCTCTGCAGGTAGGCGCCGCGCGCGGGGCTGCGGGCCGGCTCCGGGCTCGGGGGCCCCTCCGCCCCGGCCTGCGCGCCCTCGAGGGCCGGGGGCTGGGGCTCCGGGGGGCTGGGCGCCGGGCACGGGACGGGGCGGCCTGGGGGGGGGGGAAGCGGAGGGGCCGGTGAGGCCGGGCTCGCCGTCCAGGCCGCGGGCGATGCCGTGGGGGCGTCCGCCCCGTCCACTTGCCACACAGACGTGACACCCAGCGGGGGGGCGGGTCCGGCCGGCCCGGGGTGGACCTGGGGCGGACCCCGTCCCTCAGCCGGACCCGGACCCCACGGCCAGCGCCCCCAGTGACATCCCGGCCGCTTCCTGTGCGCGCGCCCCGCTCCTGCCGCGGTCCTGGGAACGTCGGGGCCCGTGGGGGGGCGCAGCCGCCCTCCGCGGCCAGGCCCCGACCTTCCCCTCGTGTCTGCCCCCACGACCCCCACGAAGGGCCGTCAGGTCACCTCGCTGGCCCCGGGGCCAGCCACGCAGCTGCCACGTGCCTCAGTTTCCCCCTCTGTGCAAAAGGGTCCCGAGGGGGGGTGTGCCCGAGGCCGGCACAGCCGCAGCCCCGGGTGAGCCGAGGACGGGGCCGGGGGGAGGGCCTGGCCGGGCCCCGGTGTCCGGCTCGGCCGGCCTCGCCCCCCTTCCCGGGCTCCCCCCTCCGGCCGCCCCGTCGCGTCCCCATTTCCTGTCCGGGCCTCCCAGGGAGCCCGCGGCGCTGGCACCGCCGGCCGACCGCACATAACGGTCCGCGCCCGACCCCCGCCCGCCGCTCCCCGCGCCCGACCCCCTCCCCGCGCCCGGGCCCGCCCCGGATCGGGCGTCCGGCCCGCGGGGGGGGGCTCCCCGGCTCCTCCCGCCGTCCCCCCTCGAGGGGGGAGGTCTCGGCATCCCAGCGCCGGGCGGAGCTCCGCACCCCGCTCCCCCCCGCCGGCCCCCCACGCACCGCGCTCCTTCGCGTCCGACTTCTTGCGGGGCAGCTTCTCCCGGCCCCGCAGGCGGGAGAAGGTTTTGCGGAGCAGCGGCTCGGCCATGCTGGGCCCCGGCCGGGCCCGTGCGCCCGCTGCGCCGCCCCGGCCGCCCGCCCCGCCCCGCGCCCGCCCCCCGCCCGCCGGCAGGAAGCGCATTCCGGGAATGCCTGGCCCCAACTTCTCTCCCTCCCTTCCCTTTCCCCTTCCCGCAGCCCCGAGCGGGCGGTGCTGGGAGATGTAGTCGGCCCGGCCGGAGGGGAGCGGCCGGGGGCGGCCCGCCCCGAAGGCGTCGGGTGAACCGCACGCCCCGCTTCCTCCCCGGGCCCGGGCCGCCGCCGTGGAACTGTGTGCGCGTGTGCGTGCGTGGAGTCCCGGGACTTGAACTCAGGGCCCGGGCGCTGTCTCCGGGCTGGAAGCGGGGGGCGGGGGGGTGTGTCTCAAAGCACCCGGGGGGCTCTTCAGGGAGGATGCGCGTGGACGCCGAAGATGAGAGCTGAGGCTCGCGGTTCGAAGCCAGCCCTGGCAGGAAAGTTCCGGAGACGCTTGTCTCCAGTGAGCCACGACAAAGCCCGGCCTGGAGCTGTGTCTCAAGGGGTAGAGCGCCAGCCTGGAGCAAAAAGAAAAGCCCAGTGCCCAGGGCGTGAGTCCAGCCGGGACCCCTGCTCCCAGGAGAACCGCCTCCAAGCCTAGGAGCGCTGCACTCCTTCAGTGCAGAGACCCGGCCCCGCCTCTCCACAGGCCCCGCCCACCGCCGGGCCGCCCTCCACAAGCCCCGCCCAGAGCCCCTCCCTGCGAGCCTGCGGCTCAAAGCCCCGCCCACACAACCCGCCTCCATAGGCCTCCTCCTCAGGCCCCGCCCCAGGCCCCTCCCACCCACAGACTCTGCCCCCAAGCCCCACCCACTACAGACTCCGCTTCTCAAAGCCCCGCCCACACACAGCCTGCCTCTCCATAGGCTTGGTCTCTCCACAGGCCTCCCCTCTCCTCAGGCCCCGCCCCAGGCCCCTCCCACCCACAGACTCACCTCTCAAAGCCCCGCCCACGTGTCTCCCACCTCTCCATAGGCCTCCCCTCAGGCCCCGCCCACCCGCAGACCCCGCCCCTTCCTGTGAGACCCCGCCTCTGCAGGTGAGCCTGTACGTCCACGCAGGCCATTAGGTGCTGACCGCGGCGTCCGACCTGCTTCAGCCCCTACCTTCTTCTCCATCCTTGCTCAGGGCCCACTTAAACCAAAGTCTGGCAACGCTTAAAACCCTGCTGGAGCGTCCTCCCGCACGCTGACCTCACCCACCCAGAACGGAGTCCAACTCCCACCACAGCCTATGGCTCCATCTCTTCTGCTCCATTCAGTCTCCGGGCCTTCCGTTCTGGTCCTCCTCCTCCTCAAGCTGCCCCAGGCCCTTTGCACACATGGCTCCTCCTGCACGGCAAGCCCAGGTTCTCCTAAGTCTAAGGCGTCATCCCAGAAGGCCCTTCCTGTCCGTCCACTGCTGAGCTGTGTGGTCCTGACTTCTCTTTCCTTCCAACCCTCACCATTGCCTGAGTGGGATAATGGAATCTTTCCAGAGGCTTGTTCATCCCCGCCTTGTCCAGATGGGGCTTGGCTGTCTCGGTCACTGCTGAGGGGTCAGGGGATGGAGGCCTGCATGGGGTGTGTGTGATCAGGAGGCCGCAGCGAGGAGGTCGTGTGTGTGTGTGCGCGCGTGCACGCGCGGTTCTCATGCATCTCACCGTGGGACTCTGCGTTTACGCTGTGTCCGGCCCTCTGAGCATCTTGGATACGTGGATTCATGTATTTCACTAATTTCAGTAAGTTGCCGCCGTCTTTTGGCCCCTTCTGTTTTCTCTTTCTTACGCTCTCATTAAGAGCCAGAAGGGCCAGGTGATCGAGGTTCAAAGCCAGCCCAGGTGGGAAAGTCCATGAGACTCAATGAACCACCAGAAAACCAGGAGTGGCGCTGTGGCTCAAGTGGTAGAGCGCTCGCCTTGAGCTGAAGAGCTGAGGGACAGCGCCCAGGCCCAGAGTTCAAGCCCCATGACCAACAAAACGAGTGCAGGTGTACTTGATCTTCCTTTCTTTTTCTTGTTGTGCCAGTCCTGGGCTTTGAACTCGGGGCCTGGGTGCTGTCCCTGAGCTTTTTTGCACTCAAGGCTGGCGCTCTGCCCTTGAGCTACATCTCCACTTCTGGCTATCTTTGGTGGTTAACTGGAGATAAGAGTCTTACAGACTTTCCTACCTGGGCTGCCCTTAAATTGGGATCCTCAGATCACAGGGATTACAGATGTGAGCTAGGACACCCGGCCTGGGCTTCTTCAATGCACTGGGTGTAGCTGGCTTCACATCACCCCAGCAGAGTAGAGTGTTCAGGCACACACTGTGCATTTGGTAAACCCAGCAGAACTCCCTGGCGGGCACAGGGCAAAAAAAAAAAAAAGAAAAAAAGAAAAAGAGATGGCTTTATTTTGCAGCACAAATCCTGCTCCTGGCCCTGCTGAAGTCTTCCAGGGCCCCTCTGTTTGTGGAGCTCTCCCTACCATGCCCGCAGGTCCCTCTTTGGCCTGTCATTCTAGATCCACTGAGTCTCTGTGATTGTCCCTGGGTCACAGGAAATCTCCACCCACTGTCCCCTCCTGGGGCAGGGAGGCCGGGGGAGACCTGCCAGCTCACGGCTAGGAGTCCCAGTTATGAAAAAACAAAACCAAAAACCCAACAAAAAGAACTTGAAATGTTTTGTAAAATGGCTCTGTCGCCACCTGGTGGCATCTGCTTGAATTAAACCTGGAATTAAACGCCCCCCTCAGGGCTGGCTGGAGCTGCTGGAGAGGCTGGGGGAGGAGGGTCGCTCCCGCCTGGGATCCCGAGCCTTGGCCACAGAGAAAGACCCTCTTTAAAAGAAGAAGAAGAAAAAGAACAAAAGCAAAAGCAGCCAGGGGCCGGTGGCTCACACCTGCCATCCCAGCCACTCAGAAGGATCACAGTTCAAAGCCAGCCAGGGCTGGAAAGTCTGTGAGACTCTGATTTCCAATGAACCACCAAAAGGCTGGAAGTGGAGCTGTGGCTCAAGTGGTAGAGCACCAGCCTGGAACAAAACAGATGAGGGTCTGTGCCCAGGCCCTGAGTTCATGCTCCAAGACTGACACACATGCACACGCACACAAAGCACAACATACACCAAGTCCAAAAACAGGATAGTGACACACACGTTTAATCTTGAGATTCTCCTACCTGCACTTCCCGTGTTACTGGGATGATAGGCAGGTACCTCTATGCGCAACTTAGTGGTTGAGCCGAAGTCTTGCTAACCTTGTTTTGCTTGGATTGGCTTTGAACCCTGATCGTCCCCACCTCTACCTGTTGAGTGGCTGAGATTACAGACATGAACCACCACATGCTAACCCTGTCTCTGTCCATGTAGCTATGTCTTTCATCCAAGCAGTGTAATTCTCGTAGCTGATATTCCAGGGGAGGCTCATCTGCAGCACCTTCCGATCCTTCCTGGGCATTCTGATCATGAGGTAGAAGAAAAAAAGAATCATGTGGCCAGGTGCCGGTGGCTCACGCCTATAAACCCAGCTACGCAGGAGGCTGAGATCTGAGGATGGTGGTCAAAACCAGCCCAGACAGGAAAGTCCGTGAGATGCTTATCTCCAATGAACCACCAGAAAACTGGATGTGGCGCTATGGCTCAAAGTGGTAGAGCGCCAACCTTGAGCAAAAGAGCTCAGGGACAGCACCCAAGCCCTGAGTTCAAGCCCGAGGACTGCTCATGCGCGTGCGCGTGCGCACACACACACACACACACACACACACACATACACGCACACACGTAGTGTGCCTCACAATCATTCAGTCCTTGAACTGTCCATCGATTAAAGGCTTGCTTGCCAATCTGTAGCACGGTTGAGAGGTGGTTACACCTTTAAGAGGTGGGGCCTATGGAGAGTGAGTAGGGCTGTTGGGGGCGTGGCTTCAGAGGGCCTCACAGGGAAGTGAGGTCACCGGGGCGTGGCCTAACAGGGAAGTGAGGTCACGGGGGGCGTGACCTCAGAGGGCCTCACAGGGGATTGCCTGTCCGTGCCCCTGCTCGCTTCTTGGCTGCAGAGCATGGGGTGCAGGTGTGCTGGCCAGGTGTGCCCGCCAGGTGTGCTCGCAGGTGTGCCCGCCAGGTGTGCTGGTCAGGTGTGCCCGTGTTCCCACCAGGTGTTCCCGCCAGGTGTGCTGGCCAGGTGTTCCCGCCAGGTGTGCTCGCAGGTGTACTGGCCAGGTGTGCTCGCCAGGTGTGCTGGCCAGGTGTTCCCGCCAGGTGTGCTGGCCAGGTGTTTTCGCCAGGTGTGCTCGCCAGGTGTACTGGCCAGGTGTTCCCGCCAGGTGTGCTCGCCAGGTGTGCTGGCCAGATGTCCTGGCCAGGTATGCTCACCAGGCATTCCTGCCCAGACACACTGAGCTGCCACAGGTGCAAAGCAATCAGGGACTGAAACCTCTGACAGCAATTACTCCTGTCAGGTCCTTGCTGACAGGGATGAAAGCTGACTCCCAGCTTCTCCGGACACGGAGCAGACTGGAATGGAAGGCCCCAGCCGGCACAGTGAAGGGACGCTGGCCCATCTTCCCCTGCGATCCTCCGATGTCAGCCTCTGAGTGGCTAGGATTACAGCCGGAGCCCCAGTGTGTCTTCCTGGATCCTCTCCTTCCTTCCTCCTTCCCTCTCATCTTTCCGCCACCTAACTCCAATATGAACGTTGTTTGTGTGTTAAGAACAGATGGATGGGTAAAGAAATCAGGTTATATAGAGGGCTGGGGTGATTTCTCGGTGGCAGAGCGTGCGTGTACTTAGCTGCATGAAGCTCTAAGTTTGACCTCAGAACCACCAAAAAAAGTGGCAAACACACCCACAATGGAATCTGATTCAGCCTCAAATAAGAAGTAAATCCTGTCATTTGTCACCACATGGGCGAAACTGGAGAACCTCATCCCAAATGAGAGAAGCCAGACGCAGAAAGACAGAATGCCGCGTGCTTCCCACTCATCTGTGCACTCTTCAGAGCCACATTCGCAGAAGCAGAGCTCAGTGGTGGTTACAGAGGCTGGGAAGGGTAGGATTGGTGAGATGTTGTTTGTAGGTTTTAAAAGTTCAGCCCAACAGGAAGAATAAATTGGAGAAATCCAGCATAAGATCTCTTAGCACATAAACTTAAGTACACGAGATCATGGATTTGATCATCAGTTCAGCCATTCTATAACATGTATAGATTTAACAGCATCACATGTACCATAAAGATTTAGAATTGTTGTCAAAATAATTCAGAAGTTAGACACTGGTGGCTCGTGCCTGTAATCCCAGCTACTCAGGAGGCAGAGCTCTAAGGATCAGGGTTTGAAGCCAGCCTAGGCAGGAAAGAGATTCTTATCTCCATGTAACCACCAAAAAGCTGCAAGTGGAGCTGTGGCTTAAGTGTTAGGACACTAGCCTTGGGCAAAAAATCCCAGGCCCTTAGTTCAAGCCCCAGTGCCGGCTGAAAAATAGAGAGAGACAGAAACAGAGACAGAGACAGAGACAGAGAGAGGAAAGAATATCTAGGTGCAGCCAAGGCAAAGGGTGAGATCCTATTCCAAAACAACTACATCAAAAAAAGAGCTGGCATGGCTCAGTTGGTAGAGCACTGAGCCAGGGAGTAAAAGCAGCAAGTACCAAGTTCAAGTCCCAGTCTCGGACC